CTGCCACTCACATAGCTCTCTCTCTTTTTCTGCCACTCACATAGCGCTCTCTCTCTCTCGCTCTCTCTCTCTCTCGCTCTCTCTCTCTCTCTCTCTCTCTCTCTCTCTCTCTCTCTCTCTCTCCCTCTCTCTCATGTTCTGCCACTCACGTAGCCTATAACAGGCTAACCAGTTCTCCCAATACAGAATTACAAAACATCCCCCATGCTTCCGTTCCCCAAACAGTGAGGAATCAAAAGCTGAATGAACACCAGTGAGACCACCTAAAACACAGAGACTCCTGAACCCCGGGATCTAAATAAAATTGGGCTGCTGGCCTGAGAAAAGGAAAGCAGGCTTTGGGCAACATCTCGATGTGGACCACAAGCCAGAAGCCTTTCTCTTGGCTTTCTACCAGGGTAGCAGTACAGCGACCAAGCCTATGGTCATTATGGCAATGGCAAGAATAGGATGGGCTGGGGGACAGGGATTTCTAATCCCTGTCTGAGGCTGCCTTAAAGTGCTTGGAGATATGGTTAAAGCAAATCCTAAGACCCAGAGCTGGAAGAGATCCTCAAGAGATGATCCAGTCTAGCCCTCTCACATCACAAGGAAGGAAACTGAGGCCCAGAGAGGGCAGTGACTTGCCCAAAGGCCACACAGCTATTAAAAAGGAGGGCTAGGATATGAACCCAGGCCTTTGGTTTCCTAAACCAGTGCTCCTCCCCAATACACCACTCTCCTTGCCCCATGTTAGTAAGAGTTGTAAAAGGAAGAAGAGAAGATAACTATTCTCCATATTCCTTTTGAAGGACACTTGGGAAAGAGATGACTTGCAGACCATCTTACTGTAAGGTGTGTGCATGCATGTAGGGATGTGGGTGAAGCCAACCCTGGGTGCTCCTTCCCAACAGACTCTGCAGGCTCATTCCCTGGAGGAAGGTCACATGATCATGAATGATATTCAAAAAGAGCCAGGGATGTTCTTTTTTTTTTTTGTGAGGCAATGGAGTGAAGTGACTTGCCCAGGATCACACAGCTAGTAAGTGTCAAGTGTCTGAGGCCAAATTTGAATTCAGGTCTTCCTGAATCTAGGGCTGGTGGCTCTATCCACTGTGCCATCTAGGTGCCCTGAGAAAGTAACATTCTTGAGAGGGACAGGGAGCTGGTTTTGGAGTCAGGAAGACCTGGATCCTAGTTCTATCTCTAACCAACATTGGCTATGTGCCCTTGGACAAGATACTTGACCTCTCAGTGGCCCCAGACAACTCTGAAAGATAAGGATTCCTAACCTGGAGTACGCAAACTTGTTTTTAACAACATTCTGATAACTATATGCCAACATAATTGGTTTCCTTTGTTATGTTATGTATTTTATTTTATGTATTTAAAAACATCATTCGGAGGAGTCATCGGCTTTACTTCACCAGAAGGGGTCTGGGACAGAAATCTAAGAAGCCCTGCTTGCAGACTCTAAGTTTCAAAGCAGGCACTGAACTGCACTGGTAGTGGGAATCCCCTCACTGGGAGTTCTTAAACCAGTGAAATCACAGGTCCCATCACCACCACCATCATCATTGCCATGAGCACCATACCATCATCATCATCATCATCATCATCATCATCATCATCATCACCATCATCACAATCATCACCATCACCATCATGACCACCACCATCATCACCATCACCATCATGACCACCATCATCATCACAATCATCACCATCACCATCATGACCACCATCATCATTATCATCACCATCACCATCATGACCACCATCATCATTATCATCACCATCACCATCATGACCACCATCATTATCATCATCATCATCACAATCATCACCATCACCATCATGACCACCATCATCATTATCATCACCATCACCATCATGACCACCATCATCATCATCATCACCATCATGTCTTGAACCCACAACTGCCTCTAAACAAGGGATGGCTTGGAAAGGTCCAGCTGGTCATCCCTAGATGGCACTCCACTCTCTGCAGTTTCAAGGTCATTGATCTAGCCACCCATGTGTCTCCTGGGTATAGGCAGCATGACTACTGAGGTACACACATACTCCCAAACCTTTCTGTCTCCCCACTCCACTGATAAAATCCATAAACCTTAGGCTGGTGAGGAAAAGGCCATGGTGGCTGATTGCTTCTGCACTAGACTTCTTAAGAAGAAAGCTGTAGATACTAGTGGTTTTGTTTTAAAGACCTAGTGATAACAGGTTATTAAGGCAAATTAGGGGTGGCTGGACTACATTAATAATAATAATAGTAGTAATAATTCCACTTCTATAGCTGCTTTTAACATTTGCAAAGAGTACTTCAGAGGGTATGTTTCGTTTCTTTTTTTTTTTTTAGGCAATTGGGGTTAAGTGACTTGCACAGGGTCTCACAGCTGGTAAGTGTCAAGTGTTTGGTCTGAGGTCAGATTTGAACTCAGGTCCTCCTGACTTCAGGGCTGGTGCTCTATCCACTGAGCCACCTAGCTGCCCACAGAGGGCATGTTCCAAATCCCACCTGATGCTTACTTTCTGTGTGACCTTGGGCAAGTTACTTCCCTACACCTCAGTTTCCTCCTTTGCAAAATGAGGGGGTTGAAGCAGACAACCTCTGAGCTCCCTGCTAGCTCCAGAACTAGGATCCCATGATCTGCCTCTAGCATTTTTAATCTTAAAATATCCTGCTGCCTCCCCAAAACCCTGGGAAGGAAGAGCCGGGGTATTATTATTGTCTCTATTCCAAAGACATTGGAAATGGAGGCCAAGAGGGGCTAAGTGACTTGCCCATGGTCACATGGCTAGGAAAAGGGTCTGGGCTAGTAGCATTCGAATCTAAAGCTGGGTCCTTCCTGACTCTGGGTCTAGAACACTTTCCATTACACCCTGCTTGAGGAAGCTGGTCTCTTTTTGAATAATAACAGAGAGAACTAGGCTAGGCATATGGTACATGCTTGGTGAATGCCTCTGGATTGAACTGGTTCTTGGATGACTGGGTAAAGCATGGCTTTTGTGCCTGTGAGACGCTTCCCTTTCAGGAAAGGGAAGGAGGTCCAAGAAGCCAGCTCTGGGATAAAGGCAAAAATGACCTGGCAAGGGAGGGGGGAGCAACTGAGAGAGTTAGAAGACTGAGGCTGGTCTCCCCAGCAAGATGCCCTCATCCACCTGTATGTAATCAGTAGCAGCTCTGCAAGCTTCCAGCCAGCCCCTCCCCTCCTCCAAAACCCAGCTGCTTCACGGCAAATAAAGAAAGAATCCGAATTTCAGAGAAGACGTGTGCGCTCGAGGGAGCACAGTGAACACAGAGCACACATCACACCGCTGTGGGCTCTCTGGGGCCCACAAGCCCTCTCCGAGATGTCGCCGCAGCCGAATTCCACTCGTTTCAGAGCCCCCAGCTATTTCAAAACACATCTGGCCACATCATTGTTTCCAGGCTCCAAAGACGGATGAAGGAAGGAGGGCCCCAGCATTGCAGCCCCAGTGTGGGAGAGGATGATGCTGTCCCGCCCCCGAGGAAACATATGCACTCATCATGGGCAAAGTGAACTCTCTTACCAAACCTAGAGGAGAAAAGAGAAAGAGAGAATGCGTCAGCACTTTGGCTCAAGGTCACAAAGCGAGGCAAGCAGCAGAAGGGAGACAGCTGGTTTCTAGAAAATTCCACCTCTGGAGAGGTTCTAGGCTAGAGCTGGAAGTCAGTCTGGCCGTGTCCCCTTGGCAAGATCTGCCAGCTCCCAGCTCAGTTTTAAAGAAGAGATTTGAATAGGAAGATCCTAGAAAGTCATCCATTGCTGCCTCTTATAATCCCTGTTCCTCTTTCAAGGTCTGGCTTAATTAAATGTCATGTCCTCTAGGAAGACCTCTCAGCCTATACCAGCCCAGAGGGATCTCTTACTTTTCTCAGCTCCTAGACCACTGTACCCTTTATATTACACTCAAACATGGCGGCTGCCCTTGGATGTATTTATTTGTGTACCTTGATTCTATACACACATTTCTAGGCACACGTGGTCTCCCTCAGTACAGCAAACACTCCGCCAGTGTCTACCACAATACCAGGCACACAGTAAGCACTTACTAAGCATCTGTTGAGTGATGGATCTCTATCCCCAGGCCCTGGCAAACAGCAGGTGCTAAAAATAAATGTTTGTTCCCTTTTTTGGTTAATTTGTATCCCCAGCACTCAGGACAACACCTGGCACACAACAGAATAGGACTCATTGACTGATTGATTGATTACCTAACACGGGCCTTGTCTTGGCTCCCCGAGATCACTGATAACAGGGATCACAGCTCTAACTTCTTTGTATCCCCACCCCCCAGAAGCTTGTATTCAACAGGCACTCAAAATATATTTGTTGATTGATAAAAGAGAAAATATTTTAAAAAGCATGCACGCTGTCCCACAAGCCGGAAGCGGCACTAAAACTGTCGGGATACCCTGTCAAGCTGGCTCTACACCAAGCACTGACATTTCTAAAGGCTTCAAAGTTCACAAACTGCTACGGCCACAGTGTGCCTCTTGGGATTTTCACAACAGTTTGATGAGGTGGGTACAACAAGCATCATCCCCATTGAAAGATGAGGAAACATTAAGCAACTGTCCCAGGGTTGGGCAGAATTTGAACCAAGGTCTTCTAAGTCATAAGGCCACAGATCCCCAGCCCGAGGCCCTCCCCACCAGGACGTCTAATCCAACCCCTTCATTTTATAGAAGAGGAATCTGGGCTCCAGGGAGCTGGAGGGCCTTGCCCACGGCCACAGGGGTAGGAAGGAGCAGACAGGATCTGAACCCAGGGCCTCTGATTCCAGGGCTGGAGCCCTTTCCACAACCTGTACCTTACTAGTCCTACGCCCTAGAGTAGTTCTCAGGACTCCTTCTGTTGTTCAGTCACGTCTGACTCTTCATGACCCCATTTGGGGTGTTCTTGGCAGAGATACTGGAGCAGTATCATTGTCCAGCTCATTTGACAGATGAGGAAAACTGAGGCAAACAGGGTTAAGTGACTTGCTCAGGGTCACCCAGCTAGTAAGTGTCGGAGGCCAGATTTGAACTCAGGATGAAGTCTTCCTGACTCCAGGCCCTGTGCACTATGGCACCACCTAGCCACTCCCCCCCCCCCCACACTCTTAAACATGATTGAGGATCCCATTTCATTTACGTGGGATAGAGCTATATTAAATGACTGTATTAGAGATTAAAAAATCTCAGTATGAAAAGTGTTTAGACCTTTCAGATGCACCCACAGGGTCTTGGGAACCCTCAGGGGAACCCAGACCATATTCTGAAAACCCCTATATCAAGCTAAATTCTTGTCGCTGCTTAATCATTTTCAGTTGTATCAGACTCTTCATGTCCCCTTTTTGGGTTTTCTTGGCAAAGATCCTGGAGTGGTTTGCTATTTCCTTCTCCAACTCGTTTTACACTTGAGGAAACTGAGGCAAAGAGGGTTAAGTAATTTGCCCAGGGTCACACTAAGTGTCTGAGGCCAGATTTGAATTCAGGTTTTCCTTACCTCAAGCCTGGTGCTCTATCCAGCGCACCACTTAGGTGCTTCCATATATGTGTATGTATATAATACATACACATTTCTATGTGTGTGCACACATGTATAAGTGTGTGCATGTGTATATACATACATGGTATGTGGGGGTACGTGGGTGTGTGTATTAAAAAACTGGTCCTGTCGCTTCATCGACTTAGTGAGCTCCAAGTAGGAAGCTTCCTCCGCTGGTTCAGATAGGAACTAACCTGCCAGTCACTGTCTTCAAGACTTAACCCTGAGGCCTCACATGTTAAGTGACTTGCCCAAGGTCACATAGACAGTATAGGTCAGATGGAGCTCTCGAACCTAAGTCTTCTGGACTCTGAGGCCAGCCATTTCCCATTTTCTAATCTAAGGTTTTAATTATTCTCTGTGACTTTAAGATAGCGAGAATCACAGCTAACCCTCCCTGGGTCCCAGAGATGGCAGAAGCACAAATCAGTTGACTTGTGAGAATTCCCTTAGACCAGGATCCCGCCTGGGCTCTCCTGGGCGGCATGCACCCCTCCCTCAGGACACAGCTTGGTCTCTGCAAGGGCACTGCAAAATCATGCCAACTGGGGCCATCTCAGACCCAGGATATGTCCACGCCCTCACAGTAAGAGCTCCTGCTCTCAACTTAGCCACACCTTTAATAAGGAGCACTCTAATTGACTCATTTCTCCATTTACTGTGTTTACTTAGCTTTCTGACCTACCGAGCAACTGTCAGTAACAAGCACTAAGAGTAAGTTGGGGTTCCCTCCCTAGCTTGGGTTGGCTCTTCTTCCCCCCAGTTGCTCAGAAGGAAGTCCTGTACTCCAGGACTCTCCCCCACCCTGCTCAGTGTAAGATGACACAGGCCTTCAGGAGGAAGCTTGGGTGAGTGGAATTAGAGTCTGAGACCAGGGTCAGAGCAGCCCAGCTCCACACCTGGAGGGCCCTCCATCCTCACCTTTGCCTCCTGGCTTCCTTCCAGACTTGGCTCTAATCCCACAGCTCTGGGAAGCCTTTCCCAGACTACCAGCTGTAAATAACTTCTCCTCCCAGAAGTCACCTTCTACCTTCTAGCTATCTATCATTCTATCTTTCTTTCTTTCTTTCTTTCTTTCTATCATTCTATCTTTTTATATATCTATTTAGCTTTTTATCTAACTTTCATTCTATTTTTCTGTCTACCTATCTTTCTATCAATCTAACTTTCATTCTATCTTTCTATTTACCTATCTCTCTTTTAATATATCTATCTAGCTTTCATTCTATTTTTCTATCTACCCATCTTTCTATCTACCTATCTTTCTATCTTTTAATATATCTATCTTTCATTCTATTTTTCTTTCTATTTACCTATCTTTCAATCTCTTTCATTCTATTTTTCTATGTATCTTCCTACCTATATTTCTTTCTATCAATTCATCTTTCTATTTATCTCTTTCCATCTTTTTTCTCTCTATCTTATATAGATATAGATATGCTCTTTATATATCTTGTATCTACCTAATTATCTCCCCCTTTAGAATGTAAGCTTCTTTAAAAAAATTTTAAAAAAAAAGAACGTAAGCTTCTTGAGGGCAGGAGCTCTCTTTGCACTTCTTTGGATCTCTTAAATACTTACTGACTTGGCTGTGTGATTGTGGGCAGCTCATTGTCTCTCGGAGCCTAGGTCTCATTAATAATGAAAGTTATTAATATTTGCATTATCAGCTCACCCAGAGTTATACCAATAGAGCTGTGTAAAGCAAGCTCTAGGGGGCAGCGAGGTGGTGCAGTGGATAGAGCACTGGCTCTGGAGTCAGGAGAACCTGAGTTCAAATCCAGCCTCAGACACTTGATCACTTGACACTTACTAGCTGTGTGACTCTGGGCAAGTCACTTAACCCCAACTGTCTCATAAACCAAAAAAAAGAAAGAAAGAAAGCTCTACCTATGTAATGGAGATTCACAGTTTCATGAACTATTTTCCCCTTCCGTTCCCCCATGTATGTGAAAATATAGGCAGCTAGGTGGCTCAGCGGATAGAGAGCTGGGTCTGGAGTTAGGAAGACTGGAGTTCAAATCTGGCCTCCGTCTTTAGTAGCTGTGTGAGCTGGACAAGTCTTGCCTCAGTTTCCTCATTTGTAAAATGATCTGGAGAAGGAAACGGAAAACCATTCCAATATCTTTGCCATGATATTGGCAGCACTGGTGTGCTATGGTCCACAGGGTCACAAAGAGTCAACCACAAATATGAAAACATTCATTTTGTTTGGTGTTCGTTCATATGAGAAGAAATAATATATATATATATATATATATATATATATATATATATATATATAGATATATATTTTTTTTTTATTTTAAACAGAAAGTGTTCAGTAAGCTGTAAAGCCTTTCTTATTTGACATCCCAGGCCAGCAGGAGTTTGGGACTCAAATGTCAAAGCCCATTTTCTACAGTGGGGTAGAATGAGGTACAGAACAGAAGCATAACCAAAGGCCAGGAGAAGTCGAGCCGAGGGCCAAGCTAACACGTGGAGCTGGCTTTATTCTCGTGTTGAGCAGGGCACTGCCCCTTCATGAGACCTCGGTTTCCCCATCTGCAGAATGACAGGATGTTGCTAAATGATCTGAGATTTCTTCCAGCTCCAAAGTTCACGTCACTTTATGGTATCTGACGCCCCTGGTGGTCACGGCCACCAACACCCTGCATTGCTGCTTCTTCTGGCCTTTGGTTGTGGTTCTCTTCTGCACCTCAGTCTATCTCACCACAGAAAACGGGCTTTAACATATGCTGCCGGCCTCAAATGTGAAAGGACACGGACATCAATGTGCACCCCTGATCCCACGGCAGCAAGGCTGGCCCAAATGGACCCCTAACCCCCTTCTCTAGAGGAGAGAGGAAGAAAACTCGGGGCAAAATGATTCAGGTATTTACATATCATTTTGTATTACCGTATATGTCAATATAAATCCCAAATCTCTATATACATCAGGCAACTTCCTAGGACTCACCTATTTGGTCAAAGAAAGGTGGTGACCTGTATTGGGGGAGGGAGATCCCACACTGGGAAAACCTCAGGCTGCTGAAAACACAGGTCTCTGAGTATTCACTTGTAACCATCATTTACTGTCTAGGTCTGCCCCTAGACTGTATCAGCTGTAAGAGGGCAGGGGCCCTCTCTAATCTCTACTTTGCATCTTGTCTACCTTCTAGAACAGTGCATTGCACACAGTAGGTATTTAACAAATGTTTGCTAAATTTTATATTGAATTGAGGGAGGGGAGTAGAGAAAGTCAGAAAGGCATGGCCCTACTGTGAAAATCTATTCCTCTACCTGAATTCAAGACCCAGTAAGAAAGTGCCCTCCCTGGGACTGGAGACCCTTGGTGTCGCCCACTAGTGTGAGAGGCTAACCTTGACGTATCTGAGGAGCAGAAAGGGTGAGCATCAGGGGAGACCCTTTGAGGAGGAAGGGTGGGCTAACAGCTCTCACGAATCTCCTTTCTGGCCAAAGATCAGCGGGGCCCAGAAGCAACTATTATCCTCCAGGGATCAGGAGGAGAAATGCCCGTATTTGCTGACTGGATAGGAATTCTAACCCACTCACCCCCTTTCTGGAGAGATGTTCAAAACTTATCTGGCTTTGACATCCTAACAAGGCAGCTCAGTGGATGGATAAAGCACTGGACTGGGACTTAGGAGGGCCTGAGTTCAAATGCAGCCTCAGACACTTACAAGCTGTACAACCCTGGGCAAGTCACTTATCCTCTCTCTGTCTGCCTCCGTTTCCTCATCTATAAATAGTGACAATAACAGCCTTTATCTCCCAGGGTTGTTGTGAGAACCTCATGAGAGATTTGTAAGGCGCTTTGCTGTATCCATATTAGTTCTTAGTAGTAGAAGAAGGAATATTATCCAGATCTCTGCCAACAAGAACCCAAGAGCACAAACCAAGGCTCTCCACCTACTTAGTGACCTAGGGAACAACCCCATTTTACAGATTGGAAATTTAGGTACAGAAAGGCTTGGGGCTCTGATTCAGAAGTGACATCTAAGCCAGGAGTGGGGAACCTCTAGGTCCTCGAGTGTGGCCCTTTGACTGACTCCAAATTAGACCCCTGATCTAAGCCAATACCCATCAATCCTCTTAACTAAACTCATGAGACTCTCAAGAAGACGAGGGGTAGATACAGTAAGCCAATAGTAATAACAGTGACAAGCTATAAGACATGAGCACAAGGCACTCTGCGACCCTCATATCGCTTCATTCTCACCCCCCTGTAGCAAGGGCAATGCACACATTATTATTCCCATTTTCAAGATAAGAAAACTGAGCTCAGAGAGGTTAAGTCGTTTGCCCAGGGTCACCCAGCTAGCCCTCAGGCCCCCACCCCAAGACACTTACTTGATGGAGGGCACCTCATCGATTCTGTTTCCAAGCTGGGACTCATGGGATTTGCTCCTGGTAAGCGCTGGGAAGTTGGGAAGTAACTGGAAAACTTTGCGGCTGGGTGGGGGCGGCGTCCGGGGGGCCTTCAGCTTGTTCTGTCGTTGCAGCTGCGGCGTGGTGGGGGGGGGTGATGAAGCTGTGTGGGGGTCCGAGGGGTGAGCCTCCCGCTGTGATGCAGGGAGATGTAACTGTCCGAGAGGCCCTCGCCAGAGGCAGAGAGGCCCTGGCCCTGGGACAGAGCATCCGACGTGGGCAGGGCGGACACCGAGACGGAGCGGGCCTGCTGGCTGCTGTTGCCTTTACTGAGCTGGGAGGCCCCAGGAGTCCAGGTCAAGCCAGCTGGGGAAAGGGTGTCCGTGGGAGGTCCCGAGCCACTCTCGCGCCGGGCATCCAGCGGGCTCCACGCAGGCTCATCCTTTGGTTCCCCACCTGTGGGCCCATGGGGTCAGATCACAGACCCATAGAATGTCAGAGTCGGAAAGCATCTCAGCTACCATCCACTCCAGCCCTGTCATCTGACCGAGGAGGAGGCTGAGGGAGGGGTAGGAGCTCGGCCAGGCTCGCACGGGAAATCCGAGGCAAACTGGAACCAGGACTAGAAGCCAGGCCTCTCCCCACTACATCACTCCAATCAGACTGCTGAGCAGAGCTTGGGAGGGGATGGAGGGGAGGCAGGGAAGCGAACCCCCAAGACAGATCTGTAAGAGGTTAGTAAAGGGAATCTGGGGGTGTCTTGGGCACAGGGGACCCTTGCTTTGAGAAAACCTAAGCTGCCAAAATACACCCCTAAGAGACTCAAATCTCAAAAGGCAGGCTTCACTTAACAGCCTTGTAGCGTCCTATCCACAGTTTGGTATATTTTAACAGCTAAGATATACATCCACTTCTCTGGGTGGGGAGAACGGCATGGCTCAGGAGAAAGCTCCCTGGATTTGGAGCCAGAAAGCCTGGCTTTGAATTCCAGCCCTACCGTTCACTAGCGACATGACCTTAGACAAGTCACTTCCACTCTCTGGGCCTCAGTTTTATTTTCTGTGAAATGAGAGGGTTGGACCAAATGGTTTCCAAGGTCCATGGCAGTTCTAAAACACCTATCTTCCCATCCTGTGAATACGTGTGCATCAGAAAAAGCCGGGCATACCAACCCAACCTTATGTAGCATCGCGGGGCAGGGTGGAGGAGAGCTGGCTGCAACCTCTCCCACGACGCACCCCGGTCAGAAGTGGAATCCTAAGCCAGAAAAACCAGGGTTTTCAGATACTCTTTAGCTCCAAGTGGGGCCACCTCCAGCCCACAGGCAGAGGATGCCTCTCATCCTCCACCAAGTGGAAATTTGGGCAAGAAGAAGGCCTAAAACAGGAGTAGGAGGTCTGGGCTTTAGTGCCAGCTGGAACACATCATAAATCTAGAGCGGGAGGGGGCCTTAGATATTATTTCATCCAACCTCCTCATTTTATAGAGGAAGAAACCCAGACAGAGGGAAGTGCCTTGCCCAGGATCACACAAGTTGTATGTGACAAAGTCAGGATTCGAACTCAGGCCCTGTGACTCTAAATCCAGACCTCTTCCCACTGTAGCACAGTGTCTCCCCATGTGACCCTGGGGCAAGGTAATTCACCTTGCTGAGCCTCAGCCTCCTTATCTGTAAAATGGGGACACGAGTTCCCTGAGCACACAGCCAGTGGACCGGGGGAGAAGTTCCTTGGTCTAAGTATTAAAGGTCAGCACAGATGATCTCCAGAGGTGAAAAAAAAATCGTTCATAAGAGTCTACAAAAGATTAGTTCAGGTTAAGTAAATAAAGAAACAGGAAGACAGACAGACAGACAGGAAGACAGATGGACGGACATGACTTGGAGTCAGAGGACCTGGGTTCAAATCCTGGTTCTGCCACTTACTACCCGCTGTGAAGTTGGGCAAGTCACTCCCCCTCCCTGGCCTCAGTTTCCTCATCTGTAAAAGGGAGGAGTAGGGCTAGATGGCCTCTGAGATCCCTTCCAGATCTGAGATTACAGTCCTATGATAAATCATGAGCTCAAGCCTTCAAAGACAACAGGACCCCAAACTTCCCAGACAGAACTCTCTCTGAACTGGAACTTGGTCTGTTTACCCCCTCCACCCACCCTGCCCCACTCCTAGCACTTCCCCCACCCCCGCCCCAGGAAAAAAAGTCCCTGGTGGTTTCCAATCCAAAGACAAGTGAGACGCTGAGTCAGATCTCATTGTCTCTGCCACCCTGGTCCTCGCCGTGGGGCAGCAGGGAGCAGGCTCTGACCCTTTAAGAGAGCCCCAAGCTTGCCTGTCCCGGGCCCATCCTCGTCCAGGAACCACAGAAGGGGGGAGGTGGCTGGGGAGAACGGGAGTCACAGGCCCACCTCGGAAAGGCAAAGGAAACCCTACCTAAGCCGGTCACCTTCCGGAAGCAGGAGAGGGCGTAATGTACGCGGCTGACCTCATCGGCACTGGCACCACAATGCCTCATGGTCTCCTTCACCTTCGTCTCGTTCATCTCCAGCAGAGCATCCAGCGTGAGCTCCCCGGAGATCTTCTGGGAGAGGGCAAGAAGAGAGACAGAGAGAGGGAGGGTCTGTGTGTGGCCAGACACGTCTCCCGGGCAGCCTGGGGGCATGGAGGGGATGCCCTTCTGACTGCCACCACCAGCTCCAGAGAGTCACAACCCCACGAAAAAAGGGTGGGTCACCAGAGACCGAAGGATGAACTTCCCCTCCCTCTGGCTGTCCAACGGTGCTGAGTGGCAATGGCAGCTGGTAGCTAAGTTGGCCCCTTCCTAGAAGCAGCTGCCTGTCTGTGGAAGCAGACAGAGAACTCTGTACCACCCCCCCCTCCACGCCTACTTTCTCCAGAAAACAGCAGCTGAAACAGAAGGGTGAAGGCCCAACAGGGTGATGGGTGGGGGAAGAAAAACCAATGGTTGGGGGTGGGGGGGAGAAGTTGGGGGATATTTCCCCTCATTTCCCACGTCCATTTTCCCCCCCTTGAAAAGTAAACTTGTTAGAATATGAATTTTTTTTAATTTTAAGAAAGATAAAATTATTAAGCTAAAGTAAAAAATGGTAAAGATATTTCATGCAGTCCATCTGGCGCCATGCAAAGGGAGCTGGGTTGGCATCACAAGACCCAGAATTCCTATCTCCACATCTCTCATCCACTCTTCTCTCCACTCCAAACTCCACCACCAAAGCTGCCACCTTGGTTCAAGGAACCATTGCTCCTCAGCTGGACTATTGCAATAGTCTCCTTACTGATGCCCCTCTATCTTCTTTCAGTCCATCCTCTAATCAGCTGCCAAAGTGATTTTCCTAAAGCACACATCTGACCATGTCACTGTCCTATCCAAACTCCAATGGCTTCCAAGTACATCTAGGATCAAATACAAATTATTTTTGCTGCCATTTCAAGCTCTTCAACCTCAGGCATTCAAAGCCTTCCAAATCTCTTCTCTCTGCCACCTTTCCAGGTCCCCGTAACCAGAGGACAAGACCAGCAGCCCATGTCAGGTCATCAGGCTGGGAATGGGGGCTCTCCAACAGTAACTAACATTCTCTTAGGCACCAAGGAGACCATTTTGGGGTCTGCTCCAAGCCTGTGGCTGGGGATTCAGCCAGAGACAACCATCCTGCAACATGGCAGCCTGTAATCCCCATGGCCTCTGACTCAGCTTGTCTTCAGCATCCTCCATTCTCCATGGGTACAGAAAAAAAAACCAGCTCTTTCAAAATGTTTCTTAAACCAAGAAACCAAGATGGCATAAGGGAGAGGGTGTTAGTCCTAGACTTTGAAGGGCCTAGGTTCAAGTGCCATCTTTGACACTTCCTTACCATGTGAACATGACCAAAACCTTTAACCTCTGTACCAGTATCCCTCCCTGTAGAATGGGAATGCTGCTATCTGTAACACCTACTCCAAAATGTTGGTGTGAAGCTCAAATGACAAAATGCTCCATAAATGCCAGCTGTTATTAACCTATGATATGGGAGAAAAGCTAGCTTGCCATGCTAGCCAATTTTCCATTTCCTCAAGTCTGAGAAATTGATGGAAATAAACTTGCTGGCCATCACACCTCAGACAAGCTCAGTTTCCTCATCTGTAAAATGGAAGAGGGGATGGGGTAGCTGACCTCTCTGGCTCTTTCTAACTCCAGCAGTCTATAGTTAAAGTATGTAGCTGAAAGATCACTGGATTTGGAGTCAGGAGAGATCAGCTCTCAGCACAGTTCCTGGCACACAGTAAGCACTTAATAAATGCTTACTGATTGACTTTATTACTGACCTGGGACTGAATCCCAAGCAAGCCACTGCTTGCCTACCTAGATAGCTCACTTTACCTCTGGAAGTCTCAATCAGGATCTATGAATGTGCTAAGTGGAAAGTGAAAAGCAGAGAAAGTCCCTCTTCTCAAGTAGCTCACATTCTGATGAGGAAGACAACACATATGGATGATTTCTGCTACAGGTCAGATGGAAAAGTCCTATGGTCCTTAGGATTCAGTAGCAAAGCAGTTGGTAAGATATCTTTTTTAGTATCATAACTATACCAAAAAAATCATATCCATTTCTGCTAATAAACCAATGCCAAAGACTTTGGTAGGAAGGACTTGCTTTTTATTTTCTGTTACTCCCTTTCATGCACTCCCTATTCTGGCCAAATTGGTCTACTTCTGTTCTCTATACATGACATCATCTCCCACCACTTGTACAGAAGGCCACTATTCCTAGCATGCCCACTTGCCTCACCTCCGCTTCCTAGAATCTCCACCTTCCCTTCAACATTCAGCTCAGATACCACTTATCCCAGCAATTTCTTGGTATTTGCCCTTCTTCCTCAAACAACTCTGTATTTAGTATTTATTTATTTATTTATTTATTTATCTGTCTACGTGGGAACTACACCCTCCCCCCATAGAATGTAAACTCCTTGAGGACAAGATTTGTGTCATTTGTGCCTTTATATCCCCACAGAAACTCTGAGTGCCTGGCACAAAGCAAGTGGTTAATAACTGGTGATTTGAGCCAAACTGCCCACTTGACATTTCTTTTCTTGTTAAGTGCCTTTTCAGTAAGGGCTTGCTAGATTGTTGTTCGATTGTTTCATTCATGTCTGACTCTTTGTGAAACCATTTGGGGTTTTCCTGGCAAAGGTACTGGAGCGGTTTGCCATTTCCTTCTCCAGCTCATTTTACAGATGAGGAAACGGAAACAGACACGGTTAAGTGACTTGCCCAGGGTCATATAGCTAGTAAGTGTCTGAGGCTCAGGAAGATGAGTCTCTCTGACTCCCATCTGGCACTCTCCTCATTGTACCACATACCTGCCCCCATACCATGGTGGAAACTATGCCTGGAAAACAGAGGCATCTTCCCCTAATGAACTACCACGATGATGGTTTTTTCCACTCCCATTTTACCTGTTTCTTCTAAAATCACAGAAACTAAGAGATGCTCAGTGTATTCAATAAATCTGTCTCCAGCAGCTATACTGCCAACCAAAAAAAAAATTTTAATATTCCAAAGTAAATTCAATTAGCATATTTGTCACCACCACCCAAACAAACTATGCTTTGAAGTTAACGCCACTGAACACACAATGTCATTTATGAATCATTTACACTTTTCAGAATCCAATTTCTACCCCTGAGCCAACAGGGAACCAAACAGGATAATTCTGTTTAAATGCCATATTTATTTCAAAATTTTGCTAAAACGACTTTTCATTTTCTCCCCAAGGGGAAAAAACACAAACATGTTTTCTATGGCTTCAAAATTTCTGGAAATGTTCTTCATCTAAGCTAGGGATTCTTAACCTTTTCATCACCGTGAACCCCTTTCACAGTCTGGTGAAGTCTGCTAAACCTTTTCAAAAGCAAGTTTTTACATAATTAATAGAAATGGTACGTTTCAGTTAGAGGTTAGTAAAAAGAAAAATGTCATTTTTTTCCCATCCAAGTTCACGGTCCCCTGCCTTGAAATCTATCAGACCCCAGGTTAAGAACTCCTAATCTAAGAAAAGATTTTTCTGCTTAGCCCCAGAGGACAGAATGAGAAACAGAGCTGCTGGAAGCGAGGCCAGGACAGATATGGGCTTGATGCAAGAACTGGCCCACCGGCAGTCAGAGCTGGGCAAAAGTGGAATGATGAGGCAGGTTCCCCTTTGCTGGGGACCATCAAACAAAGACTTGTTCAGTATGCTGTTAAAGGGAGTGTTTGGGGGGAGGGGTGGTTGCTGGGGTCCTTTTGACTGAAATTCTGTGGTTCTACAAGGCTGCAAAAGGCACAATAGCCTACACTAAGAAGGTTCCATGAGAGAACAGAAGAATTCATGACCAAACAGGAGACAGAGAACATTACAAAATGCAAAATGGATAATTTTGATTACACTAAATTGAAGAGTTTTTGTACAAACAAAGCCAATGCAACCAAGATGAGGAGGGAAGCAGAAACCTGGGAAAGAATTTTTACAACCAATGTCTCTGATAAGGGCCTCATTTCTAAAATATATGAGAACTGAGTCAAATTTATAAGAATATGTCATTCCCCAACTGATAAATGGTCAAAGGATATGAATAGGTAGTTTTCAGAAGAAGAAATTAAAGCTATCTATAGTCTTTATGAAAAAATGCTCTAAATCACTATTGATTAGAGAAATGCAAATCGAAACAACTCTGAGGTACCACATTGCACCTATCAGATTGGCCAACGTGACAAAACAGGAAAATGATAAATGTTGGAGAAGATGTGGGAAAATTGGAACATTAATCCATTGTTGGTAGAGTTGTGAACTGATCCAACCATTTTGGAGAGCAATTTGGAACTATGCCCAAAAGGCTATAAAAATGTGCACACCCTTTGACCCAGCAATACCACTTCTAGGGCTGTACCCCAAAGAGATCATAAAAATTGGAAAAGGACCCACATGTACAAAATATTTGTAGCAGCTCTTTCTGTGGTGGCAAAGAATTGTAAATTGAAGGGATGCCCATCAATTGGGAAATGGCTGAACAAGTTGTGGTATATGAATGTAATGGAATACTATTGTGCTATAAGAAATGATGAGCAGGCAGACTTCAGAAAAACCTGGAAAGACTTGTATGGACTGATGCTAAGTGAAGTGAGCAGAACCAGGAGAACATTGTACATAGTAACAGCCACGTTGTGTGATGACTAACTTTGATAGACTTTGACCTTCTCAGCAATGCAAGGATCGAATACAATTCCAAAAGTTTTCATGATGGAAAATGCTATCCACATTCAGAGAAAGAACTATGGAGAGTGAATGCTGATCAAAGCTACTATTTGCTATTTTTTTCTCTTCTGGTTTGTTTTGTTTCCTCTTTCTTATGGTTCCTCCTATTGGTTCTAATTCTTCCTTACAACATCACTAATGTGAAAATATGTTTAATAAGAATGTATATGTAAAGCTTATATCAGATTGCACACCATCTTGGGGAGGGAGGTGGGGAAGGAGAGGGAGAAGATTTAAAACTGAAAAGTTTATGGAAGTGAATGTTGAAAATTAAAAATAAATAAATAAAA